CATAGAGCAACTTTGCTCGGGGGGGGACATGATGTCCAAACCCAAGATTTTTTGAAATGTCCGTGTGGCTGAGAATGAGTCAGGACTCCCGAGTCATCTCATTGACCTTCCCTTTACAACTTCTGTAAAATTTCATGTAAGTGCTTTTGTCTGTGATGTGTTTTATTTTCCTCATGAAAAACAGTGTCTGCGTGTCAGAAAATGGGAGGGTATAAGCATCTTATCACACAGCAGGTCTCAAGACACCTCAGTCAAAATATACAAAGTGTCATCAGGTGCTGCAAAGATCTCGGGCGTTTTAAAATAGGAAAAAAAGGGAGGGAGTGCGAATGATAGAACTTCTCTGCCTCGTACTTGCCATCACTGTACAGGCAATGTAAAGCACCATGAAGGACTTGTCACCTTTCAGGGCTGAAGGGAAGGGAGAAAGGTTTTCTTGCACTGCAGAGCTTTCCTCGAGATGATAGGGATCCCCTCGGTCTCCTTCAGTGCATCTCTGAGGCTCCCATCCTAATGACAGCAGTAGGCTGCAAATTATTATGAGCTGTGACCTTGCTTGGCTAGCTGCTGGCAAAAGGCATATTTTCTGAATACTCCTATCTTGCAAAACATACAAGGTCTTAGAGGCTTGAAAAGAGATTAGCTAAAGCAGAACCTTAAATCCTGAAGCCCTGGAAAAAAGGCTCACTGAAGCATTTGGATCAGTGATGGCTGGGGACCTCTTTTACCACGTGAGATAGAAAGGACAAGGAAGGTGAGAACAGCAGCATGGAGTGAGGCTGCAGCGGCCATGAGGGAGGAGCAGCAAGTGTGTATCCCTAATTTCTAATACAAGTAGGAAGAAAAATCAATGAGAAGGAGATTTTTACTTATCCTACATCCCCACCCTGGGTTTCTGCAAGCCTGAAGTGAAAGGCTGAGATTGTACAGTTCTGAGCACTTGCATGACTGTCTCTGGCTACTTATCCTCACAAAAGTCAAAGAAACAAAGTAAAATCCTACTTCAATGCATGTCAGGGGTGGTTTTGCAACCTAATCCCCTGGAGCCAGGGTTTTGCTCAATGAATATACCCCAAAGGGCCTAGAATGGTGGATAAAACCACAGCAAGCTTTTTCCTTAATTGTCTCTTTCTTCACATGAAGTTTTGGGGCCAATTCTGAAGGTGGTTTGAACAACATGGGCACCTGACCAGGTGGGTTGGCATTGAGCCCTATCACCTCACTTCTCTGAGAGCTTTCAGCTGGACAGCTCTGGGATGATTAGCCAGGTTTCTTGAGGGAGGACTAAGAGATGCAGTAGCAGAATGGCTGAAGGAGTCAATGGTTAAGGAGTCAGAGTTGGAAGGTTGAGCCTTGCAGTCAACTTATATCAGAGACTAACAGATGCCAGCTTTGCCAAGGAATGAGCTATTTGAGCTTGGGGGCAAAAGTCCCAGGGCACAGTGCTGACCATACCATTCCCTTGCATGGCACTGGCCACAGAAAGAGATGTGTTGCAACCACGGGCAGCTAAATGGGACCAGGAAGACCTTGGACTAGGCAGAAAGATAGCACAAAGTATTTGTAGTGAACCTGTGAATGCAAAATCTAAGATTTCATAGAGAAGCTGTCCCCCTCATCCTCCCCTCCTATGGGGAACTGCTGTTGCTTCTACCCTATGGGGGAGGATCTGGCATACAGAGAAACCTTTTGTTGGTGTCCCATAGAAATGGGCCTTCAGCAAAACTCAGGTTCCACAAATCCATGAGGTCTACATGCCAGCTTTCTCTTGCCAGTGAGTCTGCTCCAAAATTCCCAATTTAAAACATCATCTGAGTGTGGATGGACAGCTTTGAACTCTCGAGGAGATTTGCTCCTGGGGCCGAGATGGGCATGGCATTCACACACTGAAACGTGTGCTGCTATAGGGACCCAGAGAGATGATGAAGAAAAAGACAAAATACTTAGGGCCTTTGTCAGGGTGTGGGAGAGTCTGTTTTAGTCCCAGCTCTGCTATTGGCACCCCACAGGCCCCCAGGGAAAAAAGCAACTCTATATCAGACTCAAGTACTTCTGAGCATCCCAAAACATGTGAATCCAGGATTTCAGATCTGTATCAGCAGGGTTACGAGGAGAACATCTGCTTTGACTAAAGTTCATTAGAATTAAGAAATTCAGCTGATTGAGGCAGTTGTTCAGATTTTGAGGAATTCATCCTGACTGTCTCCATGGGTTCATCCCTTTCTAAGTCAAACACACAAATTCTGCCTCCTGGGAAGCATACAGACATTTAAACCACTTCTGACTTAGTGCACAAGGTATCTTGAATTTCAGATAGATGCAACTAGATCTAAAAGACCACAGAAAATGTCTACTGGATTTAGCACTAACGGTCCCACTGAAGTTTTGAGTGGAGAGACAAAGAGATGGACTCCGGTGGCCATGACATCCAGTGTCAGTCTGTCAGAGGAATTCTCTTCAGAGCAGAAGAGAAGCCTAACAGTCACAGATCTTTGCTATGCACGCCACAAGCAGATAAAATAGATGTGTCTGGGGCTAACAAGGCAACACTTTTTGTGAATAAAAAGCCTTTTTACTCCTTTTTGATAGCAAAAAGAGGAGAAAATGAAAATTGGATTGTGTCTATTTTTAGGTGGATTAAAAAGTTATTCAGACTAGAGAGAATGCGCCTCAAAAATAGCTTGAGCGATATGAAAGTGGAGCAATTGCTGAAGATCTACAAGAATAAAAGGAGGGCAGGAGCCTGGGAAGCCAATTTTGAAATATCTGTGACCATTTCATTTTTACAGCCCTATCTGATGTGTGCCTGCTTTAAAACATACTCTGAGGCCAGTGGAAGCCTGCTCTTGCACACCAAACCCATGGGGTCCTTCAAAGGCAGCCAACCAGACTGATGTATGCCTGGTCATCCTACAGCTCAGTTTGATGTTTTATAGCCTAACATTCAGCAAAGGCCTAGCCAGCCATTGCCACACCAAAGTCTTGCATCTCCCACTAAAAACAATGAGATGTATCCAGGTTTGTCACATCTCCCTCTAGAAATGACCACCCCTGAAGGGTGTCTCAGTAGGGAGTGTATTTCTGAGGCTGTCTTGCTCTGGCTTCTACCCACATTCCTCACACTTCATCATTAGGACTTCAAGTTCCAGGCAAATGTTGAACTTCTGAAAAGGCATGAGCAGAAACTAAGAGGAGGCTTTGGAAATAAGACAGACTTGGAAACTATTGCCCACAGGGTTTCAGTCAGTATGTCGTGGGCTGTTCAGGTTGAAAGTGAAAGCTGACGGGGACATGTGCTCCTAAGTCACCCAGGAGATGGGTATAACTGCTAAGTAATGCTTGCCTTTCGCCCCAAATATTGAAATATCCCAGCCATACAATGGGAACAGCTGGTTGGGGCGAAAGTTGCATGTACCAAGAAGGGACATCATCTCCTCCGCAGTGTGGATGGAGCAAGGCTGTGATGGAGCAGCATGCAAGGAGGAGGCCTGATAAGGCCACTTGTCTGCACATCTTGCCCCCTGTCAATCTCTTCTCTGCCAGCCCCTCAGTGTGCCTTCTCCAGTGGATCCGCATCAGCCCCAGTGCTGGCTTTCATGTTCAGGTTGAAAGTGAAAGCTGACGGGGACATGTGCTCCTAAGTCACCCAGGAGATGGGTATAACTGCTAAGTAATGCTTGCCTTTCGCCCCAAATATTGAAATATCCCAGCCATACAATGGGAACAGCTGGTTGGGGCGAAAGTTGCATGTACCAAGAAGGGACATCATCTCCTCCGCAGTGTGGATGGAGCAAGGCTGTGATGGAGCAGCATGCAAGGAGGAGGCCTGATAAGGCCACTTGTCTGCACATCTTGCCCCCTGTCAATCTCTTCTCTGCCAGCCCCTCAGTGTGCCTTCTCCAGTGGATCCGCATCAGCCCCAGTGCTGGCTTTGTGCCACCCTGCCTCGCCACTGCCCCCCGGTGAAAAAAAAAGAAAGAGATGAAAGACTGTGCCACGAACTGTTCTCCCCCAGCAGCATGGTGCAGGCGATGCAGCAAAGTGGCAGCTGGCGCTGAGCTCCCGGGGAAGGGGGAACCGGTTGCCGTTCCTGGGAAATGAAGAGGAAGGACTGCTTGCTGGGAAATGCAACAGGGTTATGTGAAAAACCTGCTCTGGGCCAACAGGCAGGTCCCAGGAAGGGAGGCCAGCAGTGGTGGTGGCATCTGTCCATCATCTTGAGAAGAGCCCTGCCTCCTGCCCAAGACACCGGCCTGGGCACATGCCTCCTGCCCTTCATCCCCCTTAGTACGATAAGGTTTTAACCACTCGCCAGCAGTGTATGGGGCTCAGTAACTGCTGTGGACATGGAAGGCTGAGACGTGAGCTGCCCTCTGCTTTGAGATTACAGGTCCAAGGGCCAGCAATTCTCCTGGTACCCCACAAGAAGAGAAGGTGCTTCAGAAAAGTGCTTGAATGTCAGCCGGCAGCTCCAGCCGATGCCCCAGGCAGGAGGAGGAGGAGGAGGGAGTCCCACGAGCGCTCACCTCCTTTGCTGCTGAGGAAACGGGACTTTTCCTCTAGCGGTGCAGAGTCTGAAACTGTTTAATTCAAGATCTGTTATCCAAAGCCTAATCACTGTGAATCCCAAGGGGTTATAAAGAGAGACACCCTTATTAAAAAATGCAGTAAATACCTTCTATTTTTGTTAAGCCCTAGTAGGACAGGCTGTGCCTTGGTTCCCTGTACCAGTGAAGTCTGTCCCTTCACAAACCCTGCCTGCATATTCCCAGCATCGACATCTTCCACTCCCTCCCTCTTGCTCGCTGCCTCTCTCTCAGATGATGCAGAGTGCCAGCAAGTCCCTCAATGGTGTCATATCTGTCCTTTTTATTCATTGCAGGGTTTATTTTTAGCCTGAAACAACTGCTTCCTAAAAATGGAGTTCCTAATGACACGGGAGCTGGACACAGCTATGTAAGGTATCCAGGGCTTGGCCTGACAGCTTCTCCTGTCTGTCTCTGTGTTGTGAGCCCAGGACAGCAGAGTTTGCTGCTCCCCACCAGCCTTGCAGAGTTTGGACTGATCACTAGCAAGGCAGGAGAAAGAGAAACTCGGTTCAAACTTCACCTGGAGCCTTTGGTCTCCCCCTCTTCCCAAATTAAGAAGGAGAGGGACGTTTACTTGCCCTCTGCTGCACTCCAAGGGCTCCCCAATGAAGGTGACTTGCTGGATCCTGGCAGGTTTTTACCTGCTTTTCTGCTGCAAAGCAGAAGAGGGACTGAATTTCCCCACTTACGATGGGAAAGACCGAGTGATCGACCTGAATGAGAAGAACTACAAGCAGGCCCTGAAGAAGTACGACATGCTCTGCCTGCTCTTCCACGAGCCCGTGAGCTCTGACAAGGTCTCCCAGAAGCAGTTCCAGATGACAGAGATGGTCCTGGAGGTAAGCACCGCTGCTTGTCCCAGCAGGGGTCAATACCGCAGCGTTTGGAGCTGCTGAGAGAAGCCACGGGATGGGACAGTCAAAGGGTCTTGTGCAGGCGGGGTTGAGCACTCAAAAGTTTGGGTTTGTTTGCTTGGATTTGAGTAACCCCCCGAGTTCAGTGAAGCCCAGGAAAAAGCTTCTTGTGTGGTTTTCTGAGTTGTTTGCTGAGAAATAGAATTTCTGGATTGTGCGTCGGGAACCCAGGCAATAGCGAGTAACCTTGCAAACCTCAGCAACGTGAACTCAGCTCAGCCGAGCTTTCCCGAATCTCAGCACAGACCTGAGTCTGTAGCTTGAAATTTTTAGACCCTTTCTCATTCTGTGCAAGCCAGTATCCCCCTTGTATTCTGGATTCAGTCCCATTTTCTGTACCACTAGGACCAGTCAGCCAAGAAGCCTTACCAAACTGTGCTGCAAATGGGTGTCCTAGCTCCCCATTTCAAAAGCTCCCCGTTGGTGCAGCATTAAATCCCTTTTTGCTTTTCTGACACTAGGTTGCCTGCTTGGAATCAGTCTGTAGCTGCTTGTTAATGCAACAATTCACTTTTGTGCTGGACAAAAGAGTGCTGTTAATTCTTTGGTGAAAGAATGATTAATTAATCCTCAGTAAAATAAATCATGGTAAAAATTACAAAATAGATTCATAGCATTCTTTCTTGTAGTGTAGCTGTAATCTAGGGAATCATACAGCCTGGATTGTTAGGTGCTTGTTTCCTACCAGGGGCTTACAAATATTCCCTCTTAACTAAAAGACACATTTGGAAAGAAAGTGAGAAGTGCACAAGAAACACATAAGCTTTATTTATCAGATCCAGAGAGAAAATGCATTGCACTCCTAGAAGTATAGCAAATGTGAATTAGAAAATATGATTGCTGACGGCTAGGACCTGCAAAAGTCCAATGTCAAATTCAAAGTCTACTGACCTCCTCAGCAAGCCTGACAACAAGAAATATTCAAAAACTAACCAGATTTTACTCACCTGTCAGGAAACAGTTACTTGCTCCAGGTGAGCAATCAAATAACATTTGGCAAAGAAAAGAAAAAATAACGCTGGAACTCCAGTTGAAATGTTTATTGTTAGTAGTATAATTGCATTGTTATTTAATAGGATAGCTATTTCGTGCTCGATAGATGGCAAGCCCTTACTAGATATATATTTATAGAAACCTGACAGAAGCAGGTATCTGTTGGGTACTATCAGTTTTAGTCCCCATGACATCTATACCCACGTTAACAATCAGCCATATCAAGGGTGCGACGGCTACAATACAATCTGGCTTAAAGCAGATTTTTTTGCAGGGTTTGATTCAGCAGTGAGTACATTAGCTTAGGACTTTGGTGATTTGGTTTCCAATTGCCTCTCTGCCATGGACTTCTTATGTGACCTTGGGCAAGAGATTGAGGATTAGATCCGCAGCAGACTTTACATAATTGTAGTGCTCCAGTCCGCTAATGCTACCTGCTAACTGTGTCGTGCAGCAACCGGCTCTTGTGGCTTTGACCTCAAAATTTCCCAAGCACTTGCAATGCTGATTCAGTGCATGTCTCGAAGTTTCACAGTCCCTCCCCTGGACTGGGAACTGCAGCAGCAGCAATCTGACAGCCCAAGCACAAGAGCAGTCTGCAGATTGAGCACTCCTTTGAGGGAGTTACATTCCTGAGGGAATTAAATGGGGAGAAGGTCTTAGAAGGCAAGAGACAGTATCCTGCATAGGACACAGCCCAGCAAGGTGCTGGTGCTCCCAATTTCTGTACTAAATCAACCATGGGAGCACTCGTGAAAGGAAAAAGCAGGTTTTAATCTGCTGCCTCTTGTGACAGCATGCACCTCCCTCACCTCAAGCCATAAGGTGTTGTGGGGGTCACTCTCAATCTCCCCTGCCAGAGCTCATCCAGCTGTGGGACTTCACCACATGTTCACCGGGCCAGGGAGGGGGAAACAAATGGCTGCAGTGCCTCCGTGGCTGAGATGTGGAGCCATTCACCTGGGAGATGAACGGCCTGGGATCGGTCTCCCTGGAGGCAGTCAGCAGCTGAACCCAGCTCTCCTGTAATTTGAGCAAATACTCGGAGGAGCGAGCTGCTGGGTAGGCACAGGAGCAGTAACAGAGCCTCTCCTTCCAGCCAAACCTGGGAAAAGTTCACTCAGGAAGGCTTTATGTATCTAATTTCAGTAGAGGGTTCAAGGCTCTGAGTACTGAAGGTCCTTCATGCCTGAAATAAGGTATATAAGAGGAAAACACTCCAGTACTCGGTTTTGCCTGCCTGCCAGCTTGAGGGGTTCCTGGTGTAGGGTGCTGCCTGTGGTAAGATACCTTCCTGGAGCACCTCATGTTTTTCCATCTTACTGTACTGAGAATTTACCTGCTGACTCACAACAAGACGTGCTGCTCCCACAGCCTGGAAAACATCATGACTTTAGGCCCCCTTCCATAAAATGGCTCTGGTCTCCATCATTAGGAATCATGGGGAGCCTTCATCCAAAACACAGGCAGGTGTGGAGCTAAGCAAAGATCTGAGCTGTGTGGTTATGTCCTATTGCCTGATGAACACGAGTGTGTGTGCACATGGGGGGGAATGGGCTTAATGGATGTTAAGTCTAGAAAACCCCCAAATAGGCCAACCTTTCTGTTTGTCCCACGTGCACCTTATATGAAATTTATCATTCCAAAGACCAAAGACCTGAAGAAATATCTTAGACACCAAGAAAAGAACAGGAGAGATCCAATGCCCAGGTTCCGACAAATTCGCTGGGAGAAAGTCCCAGATATGGCCAGGTAGTAGATGGCATGGCATGTTGCTGAAGCAAACAAAAATCACGGTTCCTTCTTGACTCTAGATCCAGACCCTGCTTTAGGCTTCAGCACGTGAAAAAAAGCCACAGTTACAAAGCGCTCAAGGGCAAGATGAGTGTAGACAAACTCTCCTCTGACCCAGGAATGAATTGTCCTTTGACCATGAGCATGATTTCCTTGAAATATGTAGCTCGTGGTCAGTAACAAGCTCTAACTGGGGCTTCTCCCATTAGTGAGGTGTCCATGAGGCTCCCTCTCACCTGGGTCCTTTGGTGTCTAACGGGGGTTGAGCTCGTGTGGTGACATTTCCTTCTTTCAGGGCACTTCAGTCTCTTTCCTTCCAAGTCCCTGCTCTTCAGGAAGCTTGCAATAGCTTTATTATATCTGAGATCCCTGTCTCTGGAAAATTTGGCTGGAAAGGGCCAATAGCTAGAAAAATTGTTAGGGGAGACAGCTGACAGACAGACCTGGTAGGAGAGAGAGGAGAATCTCAAGGGTCTCATATCCTTAGGAAATCAAGCTGATAACCTGACAGCACGTGAGTATATTTAAGCACGTATTTAAGGACTTTACCAAACATAACTGCAAACAGGAGACTGAGAAGAAAGTGATATGATGGGACAAATTTCCTTCCCAGGACAAGAACCCAGCATCCAGGACTGACTGACAGTGTCAAAAGCTCAGGGTGCACACCAGCCATCATCGTAACGATGCCATCGTTAAGCGGAAATTACAGTGGGACAGCCCACGGGGTCTTCAGCTGCCCGCACCCAGGCGTACTGGGAGCTGTGACCAGATTGCCATGCAGCCCAGGGTCCCTTTCCAGTTTAGAAAGAGAATGAAGGTGAAGACCATCATGAAGCGTTCCTGACAGCTCCTGCCACCTACACTGCTGGGTGCTACGTGGTGAGGACAGGGTCTGGGGACGACCGAGCCCATCTGGGAGCAACAGCAGCTTCTTCGGACCATCCTTTGTGCATGGCAACAGCTCCCAGGATGGCAGTGCCAGCTTCTCAGGTTGGGGTGGGAAAGCTGGGGGCTGTTGGGTTAGTCTGTCAGGAAAACAGTCAAAGCAGTGGTTGGCGATGCAGCTGCCTACTGCTTTCTGGTTAGGGTGGAAAAGGGTTGGGGAAGGATTGTAATAAGACCACCCGGGGCAGAGACAGAATGAGCACAGGCTGCTTCATAGCTCAGGTTAAAGGGCTCTTCTCCTTCGCTTGCCTTTCTCCTGTGACTCCACTCTGCACCACTGACTACTGAAAAGCACCTGCAGCTTGAATGGGGAAAAATCTCCATACAGGGCAATGCCAGAGGTTGAACCAGGCAGTCCGGGAGCTAACAGTAGCTATTCCTACTCAGTGGTGATGTTTACAAGAGCCCTGCATGCCCCGTGAGGTGAGCACAGTGAAGAAGCAGATAAAACAGCCGGACACAAGGCTTCACGATAACTATTTAACAGGCAAGTTAGGAAAAAAGCTACTTGTCTTAAAAGGTCTCAGCTTTAATGAAGAAGGGGCAAAAGAGGACAAGACCAAAGCACTGAAGCTGAGAAATATCTGTTCTGCTTTTCTTCTCCTCCACAGCTCCCCTGCCATATTTTGTCCTGTCTCATACCACCACTTCTCAGACCTTCTCCCCTCTCCCTCTCATCTCTGAATCTCCTAAATATTGGGATAGTTTCACCTTCCAGTGGGCCAGGCCCTGTCTCTAGGCATCACGTAACAAGAATAATGAGCAGTGTGGTTAGGGGCTTTCCTTTTGCACTTGAGCAGCTCTCTCCAGCAACTGGGACTGTCTCACTACCATGGCAGGCTGCCTGCAATGGCAGACCATCATCTCCCTTACCCTCTCCCCTGCTGAAACTCGCTCAGTCCTGGCTCCCCTGTCATTCTTCCCTTGTCATCTGTGTGCATGTGTGATATCCTTAAAAAAAAGGGGTTCGTCAAGCCCAAATATTTTAGGCCCTTCACTGCCGCCGTGTCCCTGGGCTGAAAATTCATGGAGAACTGCCCTAGCACAAACCAGTCTGATTAGGGGAAAGAGAAAGGGATGTGGTACTCCTTTTTCCAAATGAGGTCTAGGATCAGCCCGGCCTCTAGCAATAAATGGCAGAACAAAGTGCAACTCCTTAACATATTTGGCCAATTCTGTAACACAAGGGA